TCTCCCAAAGTGCTGGGATTACAGGCATGAGCCACCATGCCCAGCTGACAGTAACTCTTTGAACTTTAAAAAATAAGTTAATTAATGCATGTCAGTGTTACCTACATAGAAAAACTGATGATTGAGTGATAGGGTAATTTTTTTTTTTTTTTTTAGACAGAGTCTCGCTCTGTTGCCCAGGCTGGAGTGCAGTGGTGCCATCTGGGCTCACTGCAAGCTCCGCCTCCTGGGTTCACACCATTCTCCTGCCTCAGCCTCCCGAGTAGCTGGGACTACAGGTGCCCACCACCATGTGTGGCTAATTTTCTGTATTTTTAGTAGAGACAGGGTTTCACCATGTTAGCCAGGATGGTCTCAATCTCCTGACCTCGTGATCCACCTGCCTCGGCCTCCCAAAGTGCTGGGATTACAGGTGTGAGCCACCGCGCCGGGCTGTGATAGGGTAATTTTGTACTAGAATGTTATCCACTCATTACACTGCACAAAATAGGTCCTTAAAATAATAATTTTATTACCAACTATAAGAAAATAGCTTTTCTAAGTAGTGCCAGAAAAAGACCTTTAGATAAGCATTGTCTGGTTTCAGACTTGTGAAGCAAAGTAAAAGCTTCCTGAGAGCCCACTAGAACGATGAGGTAGACTCAACTCAAATTTCTTTAACTGTATTAGCTTATCAATGTAAAAATGCAGGCATGGTTTATAAGGACAAGCCACTTTCTTCCTTTTGGGCATAAGATTCACTCAAAATAGGTTTTTACATATAAATGAGTTAACTCCATACTTATCTAGTTCCATCTTTATTCCTTATTTCTCAATTAGCTTTTGCATCTATTGATAATAAGGTTCTATCATTAACATTCCAAATTTTGCTCTGTTGAAAAAATAAATGTCCAATCACCAAAGTTATATTCGAATATAATTTTTAAAAGTCCCTAGATTTTCTTAGTCATCACGATTACCTGAGTGTGCAGAAGTTCTTCTTGAAGTTGGTCAATTTTCTCTTTGTCTGACACCTAAATGTTTAAAATAATTTTAGTTGAATAGAATTAGGTTTATACAGAATGTGCAACAAGTTAAATTTTTTTGATAAGTATTGAGAGTTAAAAAAACTGACTTCATATGCATATTTAATCAAAGTAATTTTAAATCAAGTGATTTAAGAAAGTAAAAATATCTGTATTTATCAATAAAAATAGTTCACCAAAATTTTATATTGAGAAACAAAAACCTTAAAAGGCAATCATTTTCCTGTTGCTATTCTAGTCATTTCTTATGAAAGACTAGTTAGAAAAACAAGAAATCAACACATATGGTTACTAAATTCTTCAGAAGCTGTTTTGTACTAAAGCATAGGGACTCAGATATTTGGGGAAATAAAGCACTGATATCCCTCCAGAAATGTGTTTTGAAAAGTCAAATACATGTTACTGTTGACAGCTATTTAAAAAGTTCATTGGTCACAGTGTATCTTATAAGGAAATATTTTTGTATTGTATCCATTTCTGTACCATAAGTAGCGAATTATATAATAAATGCAAAGAACAAGTTGCGCATTTTCAGAGATTTAAGTGGAGCCAAATGCTTGCTTTTAAATTCAGTTTCAAGGAAAGCTCTGCTAACTCATAATACAGAGAATGCATCCATAGCAATGAAGCCAAGTAAAGCAACTAAAATTAATTTGAATATAAAACAAAAATAAAACCCACAGGTATTGTGTAAACTACTTCAAATTGTTATTAATGCTAGTAATTCTAAAATAAAATATTAAAAAACATTTTATTATATAACAGGTTTTAAAGTAGTCACAATACAATTATAAATACAAAATATAATAATCAAATATAATAAAAATGATGTAATTTATGACGAATTCACATAACTGTGCTTTGACTTCTTGGTAAGAGGCAGAAGTTGTCATCCTCAGCCTTTAAAAATTGTCTAACTTCTGAAAATCAAAACTTGTAAATATGAACTTATTTCACAGGAGAATATAGTTAAATTCATATTCTTCTTCATTTAAATCCTTGTTGATCTTCATTCATTGGTTATTTGAGCAATCACAACACAACATGGCAGCAAATATACATGAAAAAGTTTTAAATGATTTGCTCATTCAGGTAGACATTAATAACTCTTGTCCACAATATGAAGAGTTAAGATTTTAATTTCTATTTCTAAATACTTTCTCATAATTTCGTCAATTTTTTATTTCAACAATATAGATGACAACCCTTGCACATTTTTTTTTTCCTTAAAAGTCTATGCCTAAATAGCTCCAAAAATGATTTGGTAATTAGAAAAAAGATAATGCAAACTTCAATTGCTTTCCCATTCCTGTACAGCAAGCACAGACCTGCTGATAGAAGCTTTTTTTCATTTTGACTGTGTGTGTTTATGTAGGATGGACAAGAATTATTAACAGTCTCCTAAACTGTGAGGAGACAAGCAAGTTGGAGAGGAGTCCACCAACTAAAGAACAGAATCTTGAAAGCCAATGAAGAAATAAATAATCCCACATTATGATCATTTGGCATGCCATCACACCGTAACAGTGTGGTCATAAAAAATTGTTACGCGGATTTAATTTCCAATTCATTTTAAAAGGTACTTTGATTTACTCTGTTCCATTAAATATTTATCCAACTGTAGCTAAATTAGTATGAAATGTATAAACTGTATTAGTATAAATTGTTTTAGTTTTAAATGTAAATACTGACTTCAGGCAATATATCCTAAATTATTACAGAAAATTCAACATTACTTGACATCTGGGGCAATAACTTAAAAACTAATACAATTAAACAAAAAAGTTAGGATGTTTAGTATAAGCCAAGGGCTATAAAAGGTTAATTTAATTTGGCAAAATAAAAAGGTTATATAAAAAATTAAAATGACACAAGGTTAGCAGAATATTAAAAATATAATTTCTATGCTAGATTAGTAGTATTTAATGATCACAACTGTTAAGATGTTTATAAATTTAAATTTTAGGAGTATTTAAATGTATCATTTGCCTTTCTGGTACAATGAATAACTCACACATGGTTTACCAGCATGTTTCCTCTCTGCTTAGTTTAATGGAACATCACAGTTAATCACAATGTTATATTAAAAGACAGCTGGCCGGGCACGGTGGCTCACGCCTAATCCCAGTACTTTGGGAGGCCGAGGCAGGCCAATCACCTGAGGTTGGGAGTTCGAGATCAGTCTGACCAACATGAAGAAACCCCCGTCTCTACTAAAAATACAAAATTAGCCCAATGTGGTGGCGCATGCCTGTAATCTCAGCTACTTGGGAGGCTGAGGCAGGAGAATCGCTTGAACCCGGGAGGCAGAGGTCGCAGTGAGCTGAGATTGTGCCACTGCACTCCAGCCTGAGCAACAAGAGCAAAACTCCGTCTCAAAAAAAATAAAGTAAAATAAAAGACAACTGGTGGTAAAGTAAAAAATCAGACCTAATATTTCCTAGGAAACAAGATAAAAACGTTTAGATTTATAAAACAAACATTTAAGATTGATGAGATGATAATTTTTATATATTTTCTTAAGAGAATAACACAAGCTATTTTCAATCTGTCACTCTAGGTCTTAACCAGCAAATGGGGTATATTTTATTTTGATGTGATTTACTGATAAAATTCATTGACTTACAACAAGAGCAAGTTCATGTCCTGATGTTCAATATATTGTTTGCATCATGAAATAAATTTAAAACTCACCCTGACAGAAATGGGTATCAATGGTCTTGAAACCAGAGCTTTTCTACAATTCCAGGGCTATGAAACTGATGGAGAAAGAGCGGAATCCTCCGCAGAAACAAGCTAAAGCTGAAAGAGAAAAACCTTTACTAGCTCCTCACAAAACCAAGCCTAATTTAAAAATTTCAAGTATTTCTTCCTATTAAGCCATTGAGGCCACTCTGAAATTCTGAAATACATATATAAAAAGGTCATTGTAAAAATTTCTATGTATGTGAACATATCCATAGGAGGCAAAACTACCAATGGTAGTTTTAATCTTCTGTCTCTGCTTGAGTTCTTTTGCTCAGAAGATACAGGGAAAATTTCTTAGTTGCTACTAATAAGATACCCAAAATGATGATCTACTTAGACTTTCAAGAAGATAAGGGAGAAAAAACAATTAAAAAACAACAAAAAGTACTGTGGTTTTGTGCATCAAGTAAACCTCACATGCCTGGAATGATAAAAATCTCGTGAATCAGGATTTTGATCATTATGGCAGTGAAGAACTGAAAAGTCATCTCTGTAGTAACTACAGGGGGAAAGGAGTGGAGGATACTGTAAGGTAACAGTCTTTCAGAGAGTAAGAGGGATAATTTCACTATAAAAGAGCATAAATTATTTTTAAAGTCCCATTTTCTTCCCCTCAAGGTAACTACAATGTGGGCAGGAACAGGCCCTGTTTGCTGCTCTACTCAGGGTAAAACGTCTTGCCAGTGTCTAATTTACAAATGGGGAAAGGGAGGTATAAAAGGGTTAAACAGATAACCCAATACATATTAGAAAGACGAATAACATCTCTAAGCCCAAATAAAGGCTAGTAAAGGAGGCTTAAAATGAACATTAGCTTCCAGCAATGTAGAAAATGAATCAGTATTCATTACAGATATCTCTTGATTTGTCAGATTCAAAAGCTCATCATTAATCTTAAGTCATATCTCAGAATGTTAAATAGCAGGCCTATGGGACACATTTCAAGTTGTCTTATGAAAAAAACTTAAGAACAACATGTAACTACAGCTACATTCTTATTTCTAAGTAACATATAAGAACATACTCGCTCTTCTCCCTTCTTTCTGTAACGAAACTAAAGTATGGGTGGCTCAGCCTAAGCATCCAATTTGTCAGGCTATTTAAATGATATATTCACAGTATACAGAACAGGGATTGTTAAAGTACTGTTCAAAATAAGTCCTCCTTGGCTTAACACAGCTACTTTAATTTAACCAGGTAGGAAACCCACTTCTTTTCTTTTTCTACCTATGTTTTTGCTCACCAAAGCTAAATATGTATAGGAATTGATTCCACAGCCATGGAATTGAGAAAAGCCAGGAAGTGACGCTGAAAAAATAAATGAAACTATGGTGAGTACTCTGAAGTCCTAACCACCACCAAATGAGGTAAGGTTAGCCAGCAAAATTACTGCACTAAATCATTATCTATAATATTGGTTGATTTAAATAGCAGAATGTACAAGAATTATATGACTGAATCTTTGTTCCTGACTAGGGTTTGTATATAACTTCAAAACTTTTCTGATCTAATAAGATGTAACATAATTAGCTGATTTCAAGATCTCAGAGTATAATTTTAAACTCATTACACTTATTTCACTTTGACCTAAAAGTCTCTTCCAAACATGAACTTTGGGATCTGCATGGTGGGATTACCTAACCATCAAAATAATATTTTTATGGACCTGCTGATTGCACCAAAAGCCACATACTGGTATAGACTTACGCTTTTATTAGAACTTGTTCTTTAGCAACCAGGATGATATCAAATTTCCAGTGTTCAAACCTTCAGTGGTCCAAGGTGAAAATTTATTTGTGCTGACTTTGATTAACGTGAAAAATGTACGCAATGAGTTTGTCAAAGTGTATAAGAACTACGTGCTTTTGCCTAAAAGTTAAGTCAAAATAACTTTCTTCTATAAGAACATGAATGTTCCCTATCCATATACTTTAGCTAAAACAAATAAATGTTATTCTTTAGTGTAAACTGGTCATCTACAGCAATCCTTTTCACTTTGGAAATAAAAACTTGGGGAGCAAGTAGGTAGGTAAGATGCCTACAAACCTAGGGTGACTCAATAACTGGACCACATAAACAGCAATTCCTAATTTTGTTCTAAATATAAATACAGGAACCCTACAGGTAACCTAATTTTCAGAAACCAAAACTCCTCTGCTTGAATTTGTTACTTTTGGCTTTTCCTATACTACCCACTTCAGAGAAGTTCCATATTTATGATATATCTTTTGTATGTTTACTTTGTCAAATTAATTTCCTGTATTTGGAGTCCATGAATGGATTAAGGTGACATGATCTTGGCAGAAATGGCTGATTAGTGTGAATGTATCGGTAGCCCCCTTAAACCATCCATCACCTTGCGCTTCTGTTGGGCATAGCTCGTGCTATATTGGCCAGCGGCTCTGCGCGCTTCCTCTTCATGCTCTTGAATTTGTTGTTGTAAGAGAATGAGCTCACCAAGCAGACCCTGCCATGAGTTCACAATGAGGAGAAGAGGAAATCGGGGAGGAGAACAATGTTAAACCAAAGGGCGCAACAAAGGAACAGATGTAAGATAGGGAAGGATGGTTAACTTAAAACAGAAACGGAAACTCATTTAGAGCTGTCATACCCTTGGGCTCTGTACTGCATTTCCATTTTCCTCCTCAGTAAATTAGATGTCTCAGAAAAATAAAACAGCCCAGTTTAAAAAGTGAAAAGGAAAGTGCAATCCTAAGTGCTAAATGAAATGAGCCAGATATACACCAAATATGGACAAAAATACAGATTTTTTTTTTTTTTAACAGTGTTGATCTTACTGGTCAAAATTTTCTAATTCTCAACCATGATTCTCTCAGGATTGATTGAAGATCATACTAGCTTAATTATTAAATTATTATTCTTATGTAAATATTTTTTCTTGCTATTTCACTGATTCAAGTAAAGGTCCCTAGAAACAGGTTTCCAGCATCAAGTTAATCAAGGTTTTACATTAAGTCATATATTCCATGTGCCTCTGCATACCTTTGATTAAAATTTAGGGTTCTTTACTTAAATTAAAAGATAATGTTTCAGGTTCTGTTTTGATTTCATATATAACATCAAATAACTAGTCCAACCGAATTTTCACTTTTTTATGAGCTGTTCTGATGACATTAAATAGAAACAGCCTCTGAGAATACAGCCAAGCACATACAAATTACTAAACAAAAGTGCTATAAAAGAACACAATTAAGATATGGAGACAATATAGTTATTATGAAAATAAAACACAGTTTGGACCTAAGCACAAAAAATCACCTTTTCTATTTCTAAAATTCATTCCATTTCATAATTATAAAATAGTATATTGACACAATTTTTAATACAGCATATTCACATGTGGCATACTAAAATACACGTCATTTCCTACACAGCTTAATTGTTGGCCTATTAGATAATTGACCTTAAAAAATGTGGAGGAAAGACAACCAAGATTTGACAATGTTACAAGCCTAACGTTTTCTTAATTAGAAATCCTTAAAAAAGTAAAGTTCTAATGAATGAGGTAACCATTTGTTTAAGAACAGCATTCAGGGAAAACAATTGACTCAATTTTTACCCAAGTTACAAAAATAAAAAGAGGAAAATGGGTATTTATTAAGATATTCTAAAGTAGGACTTCTAAATAGTTTCAGAGTTAAAAAAAAATGACTGCCCAAAATATTTAATTTTATATGATTAGAAAGTGTCTTAAAATCTGGATATAATTTGGAGAATTTTTATTCTGTTTGTTAGTTCTGATACATTAGGCTGTGATCATTGCCAATATTAGACAATAAATGAAACTGGTTGATTTACTATAAATCAAAGGATAAAACTAGTTGATTTCTTCCACATGACAATTGAAATTCAGAATCTGTTTCCAGATACAAAAGTATAAAATATAGTTATACAAAGACATGTCTTTAAATAAATCAGTTTTATGATCATTAACAAATCTATCAAAGAAAGACAATGCTAACTACTACCCTCATCATTCTCATAATTTTTACCTTAAAAAAATTGCTGTATCAAGCAGAAAGAAGAGTAACCTGATTTATTTTCATTCATTTGGTCATTTATCATAATCCTTTATTCAAATCATCCAAGTGTTCAAATTTCTCAAACAATTCCCTTTAAAAAAGGCTTCCTATGTTGGTTTATACAGTAGTGTACCTGCTGTACTTACATACCACTAGTATTTTCATTTATAAAATCCCAAAGCAGTGAGAAAATATTCTACATTTCTTTCTTTTTTAACACTAGTCAAGTGCAACAGTGAGAAGGGGGCAAAGAGTAGAACAAAGAGTTCAATCTGTAACTGACTGTGATTAATCGAGATAACTCACTCCCTTTGGATCAGCCACATTCCACATTTCCTACTCACGTCTATGAGGCACACAGTGCTTTTTTATTTATAGCTTAAAAATTCCTCTCGAATTCACTGCTTATGTATATACACAACTGCATGGTAAATACTCCAATCATCTATTAGATTTCAAGAAAATGCTCTAGGGACATGTCACTTTCCTTCCATGCCTGTTACTGAAGCACTATTATGTAAAGATACTTGAAATTAACTGAAATTGACTTTCTGAAAAAGTAGGAAGAAAACAAGAATTAGACATAGAAAAGCTATTTACATGATACTACAATTATACCAAGGTTACCCGTCTTTGATTATGTGCACCAGTCTTACCCTAAATACCAAGTGATGGCCACACAGCCTCTAAGCTAAGGCCACGTGGAACAGGAAGAGGAAGAAATCTATGCACCTACTGTGCAAGATACAGTCCTCAGATGTAGAAACCACATTTTTCAATAAATGTTTTCCCAAGCTTAGCAATTTTTCTTTCAAGAAATGGCACAAAAATATTTTTTAAAATAATATATATCATATATAAAATACAGTAGTATTTATAAATAACAATAAATAATCTTTAACAATCAAAGATGATGTAGTCTCTTAATGTCTCCTGACTCCTGGCTGTTGTCAGTTTGACACTGCAGATCTTAATCTCTCATCTCTTTTTTTAATCTCCATCTCTGAGTCAGCTTCCTTCTCTCAGTCTCATTTCACATCTCAGTCTCATTTCACGTACAATGTTCTGTTTTTTTTTTAGTTATAACATCAGATCAAGAAAATTAGTAATAACTCTAGAAACCAATATATCAAATGAAAACACTGTGCTAACCTAAAAGTTAATGAGTTTGGTAGAGAAGATTTTAAGTAATCTTGAAATACTATACTATGGTCTGAATTTTTGTCCCCCACAATTTCATATGTTGAAACCTAACCTCACAAATGTGATAGTATTGAGAGGTGGGGCATTTGGGAGGTGATGAGGTCATGAGGTTTCTGGAGTTACTGGCCTTACAAAAAAAGGCCAGAGCTGCCTAGCCCCTTTTGCTATGTGCGGATATGGGGAGAAAGCATCATCTATAAGCCGAGGGTCCTCAGAAGACATCAAATCTGCCAGTGTCTTGAACTTGGATTTCCAGTTACTACATTATTTGTTGCATAAGAAATCCCAGAAAAGCAAATCCTATTTAAGCCACACTGCTTAATTACAATTCAGAATATCAAGTACATGAACTACTTTTACAGCCTTGTTCTCCTCAATGGTTGCCAAATATGAAGGCCAGGGAGAATCTGCAGGTAATCAGAGCAAAAAATTGAGGGGACCAAAATTTTGTTGGCATCAGCCAGATTTATTTACTTTAATCAGCCTCTACCGAGTTAAACCAATCAACTGGTTTTACTAAGACGCAACACTATCCCAGGTGCTCTGAGAAAAAGATTTAGTAACAGAAACGGCCGACTAAATGGTAAGAATGTAAGCAAAAGTAAATAGTGTTTCATATGGCAAGTGTTTTAAACACTGAGAAGAGTATAATTAATGGAGCTATGAAGGTTATGGAAGGCTTCATAAAGTGACAATTGAGCTGTGCTACAAGGATGAGTGAAAACTAAACAGGCAGGAAAAAAGAAAAGAGACATTTCATCTGGGGAGGTACAACATAAACCATAAAATTAAGAATCGGAGGGCCGGTGGCTCACGCCTGTAATCCCAACACTTTGGGAGGCCGAGGCGGGCGGATCATGAGGTCAAGAGATCAAGACCATCCTGGCCAACCTGATGAAACCCTGTCTCTACTAAAAACATAAAAATTAGCCAGGCGTGGTGGCGGGAGCCTGTGATCTCAGCTACTCGGCAGGCTGAGGCAGGAGAATTACTTGAACCTGGGAGGCGGAGGTTGCAGTGAGCCAAGATCGCACCACTGTACTCCAACCTGGGCGACAGAGCGAGACTCTGTCTCAAAAAAAAAAAAAAAAAAAGAGAGTAATATGTTGCAAGAAAGAACATTAATGTATTATCATTTAATAATTATACTTAAAACAATACTACTTCTTTTCATGATTTGGGCCATGAAAAAGTCCTTCAAATATTTTCTACAAATTATAAATGTGCTTGTTGCCTTCCGAATGGCCGTATTCCTTACTTCTGTGAGATGCTTATAACCAATCAGAAACATAGAACAAAAGCACAGAAAATAAAATGTCACATTTTGCAAATCAATTTCACTGGAACACAATAATCTTACAGAATCTAAAAAAGGGAATGAACTAAGTGGTCTTGTCACCTGTATATATGACTGATATACAGAAATCTGCTGACTCCCAAATTGAATTAGTCCACCAATTCTCTAAAATAGGCAGCACTTCAATTTGTCTTCAGGTAGTTCTGAAGGTCTCCAAGTCTCAATAATATTCAGTGCACATCAAGGGCTATGTCTCTTTTCCTCCAGCGGACATACGTTTTCAAATTTTTGATTAACAAGAAGCATTTATTAAGAGGTGGTTTTAACGTATGTCAGTCATACCTCAAGATAGTAGGGCGAGGTTAAAAATGGTTGGTTTTACTATTTGTTTAAATGTTTCATTAATCAAATCACATCAGAACTTCTGATTAACATGACATAAATAATTCATTAGTGTCCACAAACTGAATAGATATAAATCCAGGCCAAACCAAAGAAACTTGATAATTCATTAGCCTGTGCAGCAGCATTATGTGGAAATCTATGCTTTCTGTAGACTTTTTGAAGACCGGTATTATAACTTTCCAGGACACCTAAAACTCCAGTAGTAACCCCAGGCTGGGAATCACAGGTTATCCGTTCATCATGTTGTTTACTTGGTCTGACTGAAGTCAAACTATTTGTGCTCCCCTCAGCTTCCCGTCACTTTCACTTCAGTTGACTTTGAATGGTCCTAACTGTTCTGCTCTTTGCCAGCACTTCTCCAGATGTGTTTTCCTACTAGAAAGGACAATTCTTTTCTTTAGTTCTAGTTGTAGAAATGTTTTTCAATTATTATTACTTTCTTAAAAAGCTGATTCACATATACTTTTACATTTCTAGAAGTCTAGCCAGAAACTTTGTTACAAACCTGACAACCATTAAACTAACACTTGACTGCTTCAAACTCTAAATAGTATTTTAAATCTGGGGCTTTCAGACCTCAGACTGAACCAGTTAAAAAAGTATTCAGCTAAAGCCTGGCCACCCTACCACCTCTGATTATTGCCCACATTTTCAAACTTGATGTCAGAGTGATTTCAAAAAGGGTACTGCTAAGCTAAGGCCTCTCTTCGCATGCTTACATTCAACCATTAATTTGCACAGAAGTCTCAAAATCAGTCAGTTTATCTGCATCTTAGCTGAGTGACTCATCATTCTCAAGCATCACAAGTAACAGCCAAACTTTGCAAACATGATGCTGCATATTATTAACAATAGAATTTGAAACCATCAGTTAGGGCTTGAGATACATTTTTGGATAGTAAATTTTTATAGTAGCATTTGCTATAATTTGACTTAACCAGTAATGAAAGTAGCTTAATTACAACTCTAGATTCAGTAGGTATAACAAATAGTTGAAAAAAAAATTGGTAAGTCTTTAATGGGCAAAATAAGTACCACAAATTGAGAAAAAGTCAAAAGGAAATAGTTTACAAGGACATTTATTGTCAAACAAGCAAATTAAAACAAGCAAAGAGTAAATTAGACCATAATGTAATAAATTTTATTCCATGTCTATTGTATAAAATAAAATCTGTAAATATAATTAAATTTCCGAAAATAATTATCTGGCTTCTTTTCTATTGCAGAGCTTCTGTTCAATTACTGATTATTCATTTACGACCTTAGTAGGGTTTTAAGAGAATTATCTGAGTCAGGCCCTTAAACAGGTTTTTCATTCACCAAAGTGATCCTAGGCCATATCAGAGAGAAAACTGACATACAGACCTCGCCATTACCAATTTGGCAAACAGAAATCTTGTCACTCAAAGAACCATACTACCATACCTGTAACAAAGGCTCCTTCTCCCCATTAGATTAGATCTTCTCTCCACATTAAATTTAATTGCCTTAAGGGCTAAGGCCTTCACTCAAAATAAGCCACAAATATTAAGCTAATTTCTACTTATTTTTTTTTCCCCCAGTAGCAATAAAAATCAAGAGTGTCCTTTGGTTAAAATAATGTCAATGCAAAAGAGTGTCAAAAAAGATCAAATCAAAAGACAAATACACGTACATACATTTTGACAGACATTTTTCTCCAAAAGATAAAATTAAAAGGCAAAAGAAAAACATCTTTTGAAATATAATTAAAATTTGGAATATAATGTAAAAAGTTCAAAGTTGAAGAACAAGGAAAGAGATGAAAACCTATTTATAGAAATTATTTCTTCCTCCTGCTTCCAAAATAAACATAAAATTATTTCCTCGATGTATTAAAACTACAATAACCTCCAATATAAAAATTACACGTTCCATATTTAATGTTAAAACATTCATACCATATTTTTTCTATAAATCTATTTATCTAGGTATTATGTAGAAAAAAACTTTCAAGGAATCAGTTATTTTACCAATTCCAAAAGAATGAAAAAAGTGAAGACTCAGAAAACATCAGGTAAATACATGAGCATTATAAATACAGAGCAAAGTATGTTATTCTGCCTCAGCAATTCTCCTATAACTTTCATATGAATTTTGTTAATGAATATGTATTGAAAATAACACACCGTAAATAACCCCATACATAACTTTGTTAACTATCAATATTGGGGAATTGATTTATTTCCTAATAACCCACTTCCTATTCACTTTATAGTTTCCCCAAAGTGAAATCTAGTCCCTATAAGATGTTCCATGAGCAAAAGGGTTCTGTTGGTAAGTAATTCGGGAAAACACTGTATGCTTTGACTCCTCGGAAATTCACAATGCGCATGAATGTATTACAGTCTGAGAAGTCGTAGGGAAAGAAAAGAAGTCTGCTTGCTTTGTCTAAACAAGCCTTTCTCCCCCCACACACTTAACAACAAAACTCTTTCTTGGGGACAACCCTTGAAACTAATGTTTCACAGAACATACGTGAAGGAAATGGGCTTCTCAATTATATTTCCAGAACTGCCACGTAATACCTTGTACTTTGCACTAAGGTTAGTAACAATACCTCTGTTTGGATGCTTTTGAATTTGCTCCTCAGATGTTATCATTTTAAAATCTTCCAAAGAAGTAAAAACTTTAAAAAATATTTCAAGACTACCTACATGAACAATTCTCTTTTACACTTACCTTTCTAAAATGCTTGTCACTTTCAGATCCATGATCTGTTGCTCTAAACGCCGTTTCTCCTGGTGAACCTTAAAGATAAATACGCAACCCTTTACATTCTCCAGTGATGTCAACAGCCTAAGCTGAATCTCACATTACATTGAGTCAATGAAAAGGTGAATGGATTTTTAGAGCAACTCAGGTTCAAAGAATCAAATCGCCTTTATTCTTATTTTAAGGAACATGACTGACAACCTGTGCAGAAAACAAAAAAATACTAACTATAGCAATCACAGCATATGTTTAACCTAACAATTAAAAATATATAACTGAAAATTACAATAAAAAATAAGACAATCTTTAGTAAGGATTATTTTACACGAGAGTACTTACAGTTCAGCCACATACCACTGGCAATACAGACCATGTATAGTAGGAAAACAATTTTTTTTTTTTTTTTTTTTTTTTGAGGCAGAGTCTCCCTTTGTCCCCCAGGCTGGAGTGCAGTGGCGCAATCTCTGCTCACTGCAACCTCCACCTCCCAGGTTCAAGCGATTCTCCTGCCCAGCCTCCTGAATAGCTAGGACTACAGGTGCGTGCCACCATGCCCGGCTAATTTTTTGTATTTTTAGTAGAGACGAGGTTCCACCGTATTGGCCAGGATGGTGTCAATCTCCTGACGTCATGATCCGCCTGCCTTGGCCTCCCAAAATGCTGGGATTACAGGCATGAGCCACCGCGCCCGGCCGGAAAACAAATTTAAATGTCAACCATGACAGGGCAGATGAGACAAACTAAAATTACTTTTCATTTCAATTATCAAAAACAATTAGATCTATTTCAAGAAAATATTTTTGCTAAGTAAATTTTCTTTTAACAGCTTTAATCTTATCATACACATACATATTTAAGAATTTTAGTTTTATCACAAAATAATTATTTTATTATTTCCACTTAAAGGATAAAGAGTTTGCCTAATATAGTTCTGGGGTTTTAAAATTCAGCATAAGCAGTATTATAAATTTGGTCTGCAATTTTATTTGCAACTAGTTTATTAGAAGCATTTAAAAGGCATGTTAAGGTCAGCAAAAATGTCTGTTTACACACCTAACAAGAGAAGTAGGTCAGAAGCTCCTATGACTTCACTAACCAATTTGTGACCTGTGAAAAACCAGCAAAAGGGGAAATACAAATGTAAAATTTAACAGAAATGAGCAAACAAAGATGTCTGAGATCTCAGATTTCATATTACAATAGGGCAATAAATGGGCAAATATGCCAGGATTAAACTTAATAAATTCTACTCATTATGGTCTATCATAGTTAAATTTATTTAAAAACCATCAAATTGGTCCAACCACTTATGAAAAGCAAATACATAGGAAGTCTCATCTACTTGTCAAGAACAAGTGATATTTTTTCCCCCTCACTAAAAACCAAGTATGTTTAAGTGCTTATGAATTGCCATTTTACTGGGCTAAACAAAAATTAAAACCATTGCATAACAAAATTTTGTGTTTATCTTTTTAAAAAAAGTCCTGTTTTTCATTGGTACTAAATATTTTAGTTTAAAAAAAAAATGGGAATAAACAAATAATCCATGTATTTTTCCTCCATGGTTCTTAAAATTTTAAATTGGATCAAACAGCTCCTTCCTTACCTGAGGTAAAAAAGTCCTTCAATAAGTTGAGGCTTTCAACAATCTTGTCAAAGTCTGGTGCTAACTTTACAAGGTCTTCTGAATTAGGAAGGGCTTTTCTAATTTTCTCTGGAAAAGATCAAAACATACAGAGTGTGAAACTAAGAAAATATGTCAGATACTATTCTTATAAAGGGCTAAAGTATTAACTTGTTTAATCCTCCTGACAACCCTACAAAACAGCTACTATTATCAACCCCATTTGCAGATGAGAAACTAAGGTACACAGCAAGAAAGTGGAGGAGCCTGGGTTCCAGCCCAGGTAGTCTAGCTCCAGAATATAGGCTCTCAGTCACTATGCTGTGGTACTGGCAAATACATCAAGTTGAAAGCTCTCCTCGTGAATCCCAGAAGAACAATTTGAAAGTGTGCTTTTTTTGCAAATACATTCGTCAACATAGAACAGTTTTATCTTTATAAATTCTGTGAATAAGTGCAAGTAAAAATTCCACCTCCACATACACCTAAACTAAGAAATCTGACAAAATTTTAAAAAAAATTTGATGACAATATATTTCTTAAAGATCACCATGAATTACTGGCAATCGTAGCTATCCAATATACTTTTTTCTCATCCACCTATTGAAAAAGGGAAAGCAGTGGCTAACTAAGAAAAGAAATTACTCTGGATACTAACAGACTTTTAAATAACTTGGCTACAAAAAGTAGAGATAACCAAGGTATCTATTCAAAAGGAGCTAGTTAGGTGGGTCACAATAAATATGCTCTGGGCAACATTACATAACGCAGAAAATGATATTATTAATAGAAAGGCTACTTGGCAGCATGGAAATGCTGACAAAATATGTTAAGTAGCAAAGGACAAAATACCAAAGTGTATATTCACCATGATTACATAATTTTTAAGAAGGGAACTAAAATTTTACTCTGTGGTAGTGTTCATGAAAAGAAAACAATTAAAAGAAAAAAATTAAGCCAGGCATAGTGACTCAGGCTTGTAATCTCAGTGCTTTGGGAGGCTAGGTGAGAGCCTTGAGCTAAGGAATTTGAGACTAGCCTGGGCAACAGAGCGAGACCCCATCTCTACAAGAAATTGAAAAATGAGTCAGGCATGGTGGCACACGCATGTAGTCCTGGCTATTTGGGAGGCTGAGTCGGAAGGACGGCTTGAGCCCAGTTCAGGGCTGCAGTGAGTTATGACTGTGAGACCGCACTTCAGCCTGAGTGACAGAGTGAGACCCTGTCTCAATCAATCCATAAGTTAAAAAGATACTAACCACATATAATAAGTATAATTAAAAGAAAATGCTCCAAATGGCTAGTGGCAGCTGTGGTAAAGTGATGGACTACTGGGTATTTCTTTTGTTCAGATTTTTTCATTGATATTATATTACATATATCATTAAAATAAAACTGTGATATATTAGGTTCATAAGTTAAGAAACTATCTCAATACAACTACTTCTCTTTCCTCAAGAGATGACCAAAAAAAGTATTTTAATGTTCATGATACAAACCAAAATCGATATACTCATCAATTTCCCACACAATGTCAGGCACAATCCATTTATATTCACTAAGGTCCGGTATCATATCTTTCCACTGATCAAAAGTCTAAAAGATAAGAAAAGTGTGTCAATCAGATGCTCTGCATGCCAAATAAACACATAAAGAAAAATTATTTAATAAAAACACATTAATCTACTAAGAATAATGTATTATGTTCAAAACTTTTAAGAAACAAATTTAAGTGGCCTCAGCAAACAAGCACATAAAACATGTAAACACTCCTCTGTTAAATATGGAAAATGTAAAAATTCAGAATATACTTCTATTTCAAACAGGTTTCATAATTTTGCTCTAAACAGTACTGTAGGGTAGAAGGAAGACAGACTGGGAGACAGGATGCCTTGCTTCTGGTCCCAGAGCTGCCAAGAAGGGCTTATGTGAGAATGTCACCTGACTTTCGCATCTGTGCTACTAAACGTCAAAGCTCACAATCAAACCTAGGTGTTCCTACTCCCAGCCCTGTGCTCCTTCCACTAGGCCATTTTAATTTCATATAATTATAGGTAAGATTCTAAAGGCATCTTCCTATTAGCATCATTAAAACAATCTAGTCCATGGCAGAGACACAAAATAAATGTTTAAACACCCAATTGTATTCCACTATACAAAAGAAAAATGATTTATGCTATAGAAACTTAATCATGATACAATAATTGGAAAACCAGTAGGAATGTTAAGTTCACCTTTTTGGCTGTGTAGCCACCCCCAACAGCAGATCCTAGTATGAGATAGCGAAGTTTTAAGAGTCTCGTAGCTAATCTTGCTGGCCAAAAATTCCTGCGAGGCTGGTAGCCATATTTAATTGGAGAGAATTTCAGTTTACGTAAAGGAAGGTTTGTCAGAGAAGAGAACTGCTGAAATGATGTCCTTAATTGAGGTCGTTGAAGCTTTAATGTAGGATGATGTGAATGATAAATACTTCGTGAAACCAGATGCAGTTTTTGTAGTGGTAAACTTCCTTTTATTCCAGAGCTGTGTTTCACTAAAGACTGGCAGACCTCACTGAAAGAAAAATGAATATGGAAGAAAGATCAGATAGAGTAACAGTACAAAGGAAACCACATGAAAAGAGCAATATACTAAAGGAAACACACACACTCCCATACCTGACTAACCACAATGTCACACAATAGTTCACATTCACTAATCATTGACTATGTGCCAGACATGGTTACAGCATGCGCTATCTCATTTAATCCTGCTAATAATCCTATGTAGAAAGTACTAGTATTATCTGCATTTTATGAGGAAAATGTGGTGCAAAGACTTAAATAACTTGCCCAAAGTCACACTGACATAAGAAATAAAGGCAGGATTCAAACCAAAGCAGTGGGACTCCACTCTAATGTGTGGGCTATGATCCTGGTCTCAGGAATTGAAATCAAAGAGAGAAAAGGTAGGGACTTATTTTATTAACTACTATTCACTGTAAGTAAAAGTTGAAAAAAAAATGCATGCAAACTTTTGCTTTCAAAAACAAAATTTCTAGCAGTTTAGAACACCTTCATCTATGTCTCCTGATCCTGACAGCACAGGGGTGGAAATTAAGGAAGTTAATCAATCCCAACTCAAGCACCTGGATCCCCAGAAGAATGAAAGTAGCAAAAAAGCCCCAAAGAGAATAGAATTTAAATGTACACGTTCACTGTAGAGCTCCACCCTCTTCTTCCTGAAGAGAATGAAAGGTTACCAACAACCATATCTTAACATACGCTCATAGTTGCATACATAGTTGCTTGCTTACTATTAGTTGCTTACTAATAATCAGGGCCAGTCTTGATTCTAAGTAGTTAAAAAATATTAATTCCTTTAAATACATGGGACTGGAAACTTCTTAAGAAAAAGGAAGCTGGGCATGGTGGCTCACACATGTAATCCCAGCACTTTGGGAGGTCAAGGCGGGCGGCTCACCTGAGGTCAGGAGTTTGAGACCAACCTTGACATGGTGAAACTCCGTCTCTACTAAAAATACAAAAATTAGCTGGGTATGGTGGCGTGTGCCTATAATCTCAACTACTCAGGAGGCTGAGGCAGGAGAATTGCTTGAATCCAGGAGGTGGAGGTTGCAGTGAGCTGAGATCGCACCACTGCACTCCAGCTTGGGCAACAGAGTGAGACTCCATCTTCA